TTTTCTACGATCCTGAAGGGTGGGTCATGCATGTGTGGGAGATGAGCGAGAAAGACAGGTTTCCCAGAACTGCCTCTTTAGTTCCATCCTCCGCGTGAAGGGTACAAACCTCCCACACAGATGAGACAATCAGCCGTCATAGCGATGGCCACGTGACGGGAGGCTCGAAGGAGACGGGGATTACGACCTTAGCGCTGTTGCACCTGTTGCTGACAGCCACGACTGTGAGGTATGGCTCCGTTGTGTCAAGGTCATCCACCTTCGCGGTTCCAGACGCGCTGGCCCGCAGTCACACGACCGATTTCAACTCGGACGCACACGCGTCTACAGCGTCGCGGCTGCCTATGTGCCACTTGAACAAACCGCCGCCCCCCTCCCTGCGGACACAACCTAAGCCACTTAAACGCCACCCCCCGGCTAGTGCAACACACCCCAATCGGACATCACTTCACCTACAGAAGTGGCCACCAACACTATCTAAAGGACTCTCAGGCACGACTGGATGCAGTCAACACTAACCCTGGCTCCGCCAGCGACCACTGCCGCCTGAGAAGACAACCGCGGGTTCTGTGTGTACGATAAACCCCTCATTCTGGTGACCTCAACACGATAGTTTGCCTGCTGATTGTGGCGTTCTGGGTACATTCCCACCGCTTGGCTGCTACACACCCAGTCCAATTATGGATGGACACACACGTTAAGCGACGCCGCGGCGGCCAAACGAGGACCCGGCTCCAGGAGTTAGGGTCAGTGGGCCTTCTGTATTTAGTTTTCGTGGCTAGATCGAGTACGTCAGGTGATGTACTGTCATCAGTAAGGCACGTATGGAGACAACCCTGCGGTTCGTCATCATCGAGGTCGATTAAAGCAATGACAATCGCCATTGTGTCGAACAAACGCTGGAAAGTTGGCGCGGCGAATGGTCGTAGGCGTGCGTGAGTGAAATTGGCGGTTATTCAAGCCAAGGCTGATGACGAGGACAGAGAACGGCAGAATTTAGCGTCAGATCGTGAGCTCCACACGAAACTCAACGTTATCACTCCAATGGTTGGGATCTCCAGCGCTTACATGGTATTGATAGCCGTTCGGGGGAGGGGGGGGGACCTCGATCCAACAAGACGCCAGTTGGTGGACATCGCGCACAGATCTCTGCACTGAGCACATTTACAAAGCAGGGACTGAGGAACAACAACTGCACCACATGCTGGACAATATGGTGAGGTCAACGACCGCTGGCGGAAAGGCAAACCAACTATGAAACAAGTGTAAGCACGGCAGGAATTCTCCGACTTTGTGCTATAATAACTCACACCAACACTGAGAGGGACGGCGTGGAAACAAACGAAGGAGACAACTGGCACATCAAGTCTTCTTTGCTGATCACGCAAACGGGAGTAGGCTGCAGACAAAACAGCCGGAAGAACGACCTGCTTGCTGACGTTATAACCCCGACAAAACAATCTCCCTCCCCCCCTCCCCCTAGGCAGGAACTATTTTTGGATCCGTACACGCGTCAGCAGGCTTGTGGTAAGCAGCGATGGTAAAAATTTAGCCATTTTTGCTGGGTAGGAAAATAGCTCTGATGGGAATGCCGAACAAATGCGGCGAGTCTATAGTAGACGACAAGGCAAAAGGAGCGGCGTACACGGATCCTGGGTTCACATCTGCCGTACAGAAAACTGCATCTATCGTACCCCTCCTCCCCCACTCCCACGTCGGGGCCGTAGGTACTGCACAGGTAGGCGGGTCAGCTGGGAAGTCTCTCAGAGAGCTTAGTTGTGGCCGCGGCCAAGATGGGTTAACAGAGGGTTTCGCTTCTCGGCGATTGTTCGAAGACTTATAGTATGTTTTCCTGTTCAGAGGGGGGAGTGTGTTGTGGACGTTAGCGATTGCAAATGGCCAGGCAGTCAAGTAATGTCGCTCAGGCTTTGCTACCGCTTCCAAATGATCAGCATGTGTTGGGGGTTGTAGTAGTTAGTCCTGCGCAAGTTCTAATTAGGGGCTGCGGTACGCATGGGCTTCCAAAGGGCAAGTATTCACAGGCCTTAGAACCTGCAGGCGGTAGGGAATGGCGACCACTCTGAGTGCAGTACTTCTCTACGCCCGCTGTAGACGCTTCGCAGGCGACTGTGGCATACTGAGATGATTTGGATGATGTTTCGAATAAGTGCCTAGGCGGCAGCAGCATATTGCCAATGCATGCCCCCCCCTGTGACTCTGCGAGTCTTCAACGTACGTCAATTCTGCTGCCTGGTTGCCGGTTACCCTACAGTGGCCAGAACCACGGGTACCGGCGTAAGCGTCCCCACACCGTTTCAATTATGTGGGCTTTTTGGGGACCGGAAACCTACTTATATCGACACATACTCTGCTTGGATGCGAACCTTTCGAACTTTTTGGACCGCTTTACCCTTCGTAACCACACGAACGGACAATATCTGGGAAATTTCCGCCACCTCACGACGCACAGCCTCCAACCAGGCCCTGGTTGGAGGAAGAGCACCAGTCTACGGGGAGGTTAAATCCATTCCCGGTATTCGCGTCTCCGGAATAATCAGCAGATATCAGGACGCCGGAGGAGGCGGGGGATATAGCCTACCAAACTCCGTCGTTTTGTTGGGATCGTTTCTTGGATGGTGAGCTTTACTTCGTCAGTGGATGTGTGAGGTCCAGTACCCATCTTCCGGTGCACTACGCTGAGATGCAGCTTGACCTAGCTGTCTTCTCATTGGCCGCTTGGTAAAGTGACCCGAAGGCAACAACCTTTTGGTGGCCACTGACAAATAACAGTCATTTTCTTGCGATTACTTCTGCTGCATCAGGTCGTTTTCCTTTAGATGTCTCATTTAGGATTTTCATATCTCATTAGCTATTCTAAGTAGGGGGTGTATCCCATGAAATGTTGGCCGAAATTGAGAAGGATTACTCAGGTGGGACGCAAATAATGATTATTATGCAACACAATCCAGAGATACTTCAGTCACATCATGAAGACGGTTTTTGAATGAGCTTCTTTCAGGTAGCCTGTGCAAATAACACTGGGAAAAATTGCTACTTAAGTAGCATAACATTTTACCATTGAGTTTAGATTCCCTCACAAATTGAGCTGTATGTAATATACGACATTCACAAAAAACATTCTTTCGTGTACTCACTCGGTAGAAAATCAAGCTCTCTCCAAATTTTGTACTAGAAGAAGGGTATCTTCCGACTGATTTCGGATCCACTCTGCGTTTAATGCTTTCAAACTACATGCTGTATACTCTTCATGTAAGGTACATTATACAGTCTTATGAGCCATTAAGGAGGTACAATATAGGTTTCATGAAAGTTTGAGATAGATGTGGACTAGCCTGTACACTTTGTATAGAGCAACAATAAAAGGAAAAACGTGGTGCTATTTGAATGGACATTTGACGGCCTCAAAAAGTCTCATAATTACAATGCATTTTGCCTAATGCCTTTTCACTACCAAAAGGAGCACAAAACAGGGTATTTTCGTGCACGTATTCAATGAAATATGCTTAAATCTATAAGGACGTCGAAAATCGACGAAAAATCCACACTACTTAAGTAGTCGTCGCGTGACTGAAATATTTTGGGATTATGCCGCACGATAAGCAATATTTCAAACCCACATAGGCAATCCTTTCGGGTCTAAAACACGATTCAAAGCTTCTGGTAGCACTTCATGAGACATGCCACCTACTGTACAGCAATTTCAGCCACCAGACGTTGAGCCTCTTCTGCTTAGCAAGGACTTTGACCTGACGTCCCCTTCTTCGGACTCATTTGAGGCGAATCCACTTTCCTCTAGCACCTTGCTCCAACTGCCTCCATTTTGCCACGTTGCCGTCTTTAGGCAAATCGGCCCACGAGTCACAGAGAAAATAGACTTGGCTCTCCTCTGGCGTTCCAGATGATGTGGTGAGTGCTCTGAGGACTTAGGGGTGGAAATGAGCCGGTTCTCAGTCTCGCGTGAGAATAGCGACAGTGTAGCTTCTTACAATCCCAAGTCTATCAAGATGAACGGTGGCCTGACGATGGGACGACCCGAACACGCCGGAAACAGTGGCCTGCCAGTGTTTCACGAGTGATCGCTACGTCCGGTGTGCCCAGCTTCTTGATACTTGTGTGTGAACCACCGTTGAGGAGAACTTCATTCGAGTCAAGAGATGATTCGTCGAGGTCTCGGTCGCGTTCGTTTGGACGGACCACACCCATCACAGGGGTTGTCCTGAGAGTTGAGATCTGCCATGGGGAATCTGTTTCCGTCGACCGCTACGATGAGGTGCCTTTCAACGGGGCCAATTCCTCGGAGACGGGGGGATGTTAACGATGGGAGACATATGTTCGTGATAAAAAAAATAATGGCAAGGGACTACGACCTCTTACAGCGCGTAACAATGGTGCAGGTCTTCTAAGAAAGGGTCAAAAGACCCCCATCAGAGAGGCATAAATTGCTCGTTTGTGAGTGTCAACCATTCACAAAAGTTTCCAACTTTAACGGCTACATTTGCTGGCAACCTCATTTTAGCCTCACCAAAGATGCTAGTTTATCACAAGTTTGCGCGCCGGCAGATAAAGCTACTGTGTCAGACCCCGCCTACCTCGTGCGGTGCGAAATGGGAGACAATGGAGACTCAATTCTAACAGATTTCAGGCGGGTGACCCTTCACAGAAGCCAACAAAATAGTATATATAAAAATGAGAGAGGCCTAAAGACTGGCGGACTAACCTACAACCTCGGCTGCTCAGGGGTCAGGAATAGTAAGAACTGGCCACGAGCATAAATTTCGGCAAGTCCATGTTGCCAAATGTTAAGTAACGAAAACGTCCTCTGTCAAACGCACCGGTGTGGCAAAACGGCCGGAAATAATTGATTAAAATTGAGTAAAATCAGTACTCTGTGAGGCTGGGAAAATGACAGCTGACTCTGTCCACGTGACTCACTGGAATTAAACTCACAAGGCACATGCAGGCACACTGTGACAATAAGACTAGGTCATGATGCGAAAAGTGGCCCGAACAGATTGGATGGATGCAGCTTCGACTAGCTAGAAGCAAGAGGCAAAACCCCAAGCATCGGTCGACCGACCATCCGTGCGTCGAAAGTAAAAGACTGCAACACCTTGTTCCCCGAAATGCTAATGCATTGTAGTATGGGCTAGGATTTGGCAAATAACATTGTCCTGTTCGTAAGAAGCAGGCGTAAAATACTAGTATGCTGTCAGAACTGTCATCAAACTTGTAAGTCGAAGTAGCTCCTATGATAAGGGAAACCAACGTCAATGTGCGTAGAGGGATCTTGCCGTTTTAAAGGTTTAGACCGGGGGGACTTTAAAAGGGGAACAAGAAAGAGGGAGAGAGAGAGACCTAAACAACTCGCGAAGATCGCTAAGGTATGTACGAACGTTCAGCCGTTGCATACGACGTCTACCGTGTGTACCACAGAATGCGCGTAGTGCTGACGCACTGGCTGAGGAGGTCAAACAGTCCGTCTGCGCGTGCCACACACACGACCTGGTTTCAACTGCATGCTTCATGGGGGCTCGGACCTCACATAAGTGAGGGAGCCATAAGGTCCACATTAAGAAGAAGCCAATGCAGTCCTCCAGTCGCCGCAAAACATCCCTAGGACGGAGTTATTCCGTCAGTTGACAACCTCCCTCGACAGGATTCCTAGCCTGTCGTGATAGATTCAGCGCTCATTTTTGTACATATAGAAGAGCTGTCAGAATACGCACCAGATGTTTTCGAACATACCCCTGACCACCCCAAGCCCGAAATTTGTATTGCAAGGCCTCGGCCGAGATCCTCATTCTCACCGAAACCTTCAAGTAATCTGGGTTTAAGGGTCTAGTTTCAAACTACTAAGATGACGCCTACCGATGGGAAAAATACGGGATCTAAGGTCCATCTCTAAGGTGGCAAGGGGACGTCCGGTGAGAGCTTCTTCACACTAAATCCGTGCGGCTTGGTCAACGAGACCACGCGGCAAACGGTGGTTCAGTACAAACTGGTTTAAATGTCTAAAGAACTTCCTTGACAATTAAATAACTAACGGTTAGATCGCTCCAAGATGGCAATATATTGGTAAGGACAAAAAACTAGGAAAATAATTTTGTCGTTTTCTAAACAGAAAAGGCTGCATTACGGCAATGTAAGTATGCAATCAGAAAACTGGTGATATCCGTAAGTAAACAGCCGGTCTCATAGAGGGAGGAGCATGTGGATGGTGGACATTAAGGTATAAGGCATAAACTCTGAGAATAACAATTATCGTATCACAAGGAAGTGCGAATACGCACTTTTACGTTAAATGCTTTTGAAGCTTTTCAGCGATTTTTATAACTGTCTAGAGCAGGGCCTAGCATGCCCACAAAAAGTCAGTTCCTCAAAACAGAGAGAAAATCTACAGAACCGAAGTTAATATTCCAAGCATTTCATGGGGACAAGGCATAAGGTCGTTTTAAAGGTGGTAGGAAAGTACGCGGAATTATTTAGAATCGTTGTTCTAAAAGGTATTGTAGTCATACTTAAATGCTAAAAATCTTATGTGAAAATCGCGAGAACTTGCTTTTAAAAGCACAGCTGTGTGGACCTTAAAACGCTACTGAGGCAAAAAATGCCAACAGGGGAGCATTTAGTGCTGATTACAAACGTTCATCGCCTAGGTTTTCTTCTTAAACCTATCAAGGGCCAAGTAAACTGCTTTACGTGGTCTAATCTCTGTGAACAGTTAAGTGCTTACGGCTGCGGATAGATACTAAGCTCAAGCCAATAGCGCGTTTTTTCTGGAAGATGCAGAGATGGCACCGCGTATCGCACTTTTGCAGGGATGATTGGAGCGACTGCCATTTTTTTAAGAAGGTATCAGGTTACGAAAGGAATTCCGAGAAAAGACCTGTCCTTCTGTCTGGTTACGCGCCACCAATCGAGTGTACGGGTAGCGAGTAGCAGAACTACCTTCAGTGACCACTAAGTACGAAATACGCAAACTAAGGAGCCTGGCAAATAGGAAACCATAAGGCAAACAGCGGTAGCACCACCAGGTGTGGCGAGGCACCGCTCGGGCATATCAGTTACCGGCAAAAAACGTCACAAGTCAAGGCGGTATTGCGGTATGGCGTATGTTACCCGCCATACAACAAGATTTTCCCCGTCGCCGTCATCTTAAGGATTCGATTCCCACCCACAGGTCGGGCGGGACATGCGGGCTGCCATGTATCATATCCAGTGAATCGCCACAACGATACATGATCTATGGTTAAGCCAGGAATGGCACTAAATGAAACAAGTAGCTGCGGCGGTGCAGACCAGGACGACGCCTCTTGCTAGCAGAGATACTGGTATTACGTAAATATAGGGCAGTGCCCTTTACTCAAACTAATGTACCTGTGAAAACCTATAGCCATTTTCGTTAAATGTTACAACAACATATATCTAATTGGACGAGGAACCTTTTAAAGAACCTTCTCTTCGCCCAAAAACTCATTTTTTAATCGAAAGGATCTAATAATGTCCGGCTTGGATGAGATCCTAAATTCTGGGAACGTCTGCAAAAACATGCTGTAAATAGGGAAAAATGTGGACAAGTTTTCCAATAAAAAGTGCACAGTAAAAGAACCAAGCACGAAAGTAACTCACCGGAAACTGCACAGTTCCGCCACAGGGAACGCCATGGGACCCCGGCTGCTGATTTAAGGGCATGTACTGAGGGGGTGGAGGAGCCCCCTGTTGAGATCCACTGCCGGGGCCACCGTGAAGCATCGAGTTTGGCGGACCACCGCCCCCGCCATTGCCTGATGGGCCGGGCTGTTGCTGTTGCTGCATGGAAGGCGGCATGATAAGGCCGTCGGGTGGTATTTGAGGTCCTCCAAAATTCCCCCCTCCAGCGCCGCCGCCACCGCCGCCTCCGTACTCTGAAGGAGGGCCAGATAAGAGGAGACCTGCTCCGTTAGGGCCGCCACTTCCACTGCCACCACCGCCTGGACCCATCATATCACCCGGGTGACCAGAATGGATAGGGGACATCTTCATATCACCTGCGTACGAGCCCGGATTTGGGGTACCGCCAGGCATGCCGCAGCTACCGTATTCGGGAGGAGGGGGTGGCATCATGGAATTTCGTCCCGAATTTCCACCGCCGGGACCACCACCACCGCTCCCATTAATCATTCCGTCAGGAGGCCCAACACAAAACGGACTGTCCATTTGAGTTTGAGAGGGACAACCGCCGGGACCGCCACCGAGGACAAGCTGATTATTTGACCGGACAGAGAATACTGCATCTGCAGAGCCCAATCCAGAAGAGGCGGGAGGAGTCTGTTGTTGTTGGGCATAATGTGGTGGGGTTGGATGATGTGGATGTCCAGATGGGTGTGGTGCTTCGTTAAGGCTGCCTGGAAGACCCCCGGGGTTGCCGTTGTTACTGGGACTCTGTGCAGCAACTTGTGTTGCGCCGCTGCCAGGAGTGCCCGGATGTCCAGGACTGGGGGCAATCCCACCCGCGGAGGAGGTCTGTGGCGGCATAGGACCAATACCACTGCAAACGACTGGATGGCCACCACTGCCACCGCCGCCGCCGCTGCCCTGAGATCCAGGGCCCTGAGGACCGCCAGAACAGGGTCCCATCCAACGCGCCCTGGACGGTGGTGGGCCATGACCAATATTTGCTCCAGATGGATGAAGATGATGTGAGAGAGGAACACCGTGAATAGGATGACCTGGTTGACCAGGAGGAAGGCCACCGGGGTGTTGTGGCCCGGTTAGCATACCACCAGGGACGGGGCCGTACTGTCCACCACCTGGCTGATGGAAACGCATGGATGGATGCATGGGCTGAGAGTTGGGGCCAAGGCCAGCCCCTGAGCCGGGACCGCCAACTCCGACATTAGGCAGCATTGGGGGAATGGAGGGTCGTTGCCGCATTCCGCCGGAATCCGGACCTAGTGGGCCTAAGGAGGGTGCCATGTTGTTAAGTCCACTGCCAGGGGGTCCACCACTGACGGGCCCCTGAAGGCCAGGATGCCCAGATTGCGGAACGCGATGCAAAAAGGTGTTCGACAAGGGACGAGGCGGCATACAGTGTTCCTAAAGGAGTTATACTGGGGTTGAGTAAAAGTTTCAAAAACTAGCTAGGGTAAGATAGATATAAACGATCACACCAAAGGATTATGTCCTAATATCGAGAGAATTGACACCAACAGACACATGCAAGTCATGTGAAAAAGCCTGAGAATTGCAAGACTAGAACTCCACAAGTACGTACTGATACTTACAAAGTGCTACACGGAAGGAACTGGCAATCAATTAACAGCTTTGGCCAGCCTGTCGCCCGCTGGAGTTGATTAAGTGGCGACCAAGACGGGTACACTAAGAATATGAGCGGCCACACTCAAGTTAGGCAAAACACACGACTGCCATACATGATAGAGGAGGTACCTAACTCGACGACATCTAGATCATGACATGGAAAACATCGGATGATCGAACTAACATCAATAAAAAGTCGATCAGTGTGGAGGAATGAAACGCGAAGCGATGTCATAGCAAGGGGGTTTTCGCACAAAACCTGCGACGTGACAGATGAAAATTTCGATATCGAAACTAGGTAGCAGCTACGAGTATACCGGACTTACATGTAAAAGACCATTCGGATAGCCAGAAGGCACAAAACCCTATAAGTCGAACAAGTAAACCAGGAAGTAAATGAGCATACGTAATCGTGGAAAGCCTTGGCTTCATTTGAATGCTCGTGTGTGTCACGCCGTTCAGGGGCAGCACTGTACAGATCCCAGAACACACTGAAAAATTAGTAATGATAACAATAATAATAACAGCAAACTACAAACCTCCACCACGAATGAAGAAAACCGGGTGGGTCGCCGACTGTTATGGATTTGTCCCACCGAATCTTTAAATTTCAGGTATTGAGTTATAAACTGAAGCGAATACCTCCTGAAGGAACGAATTTGCCGTTTTCTGAGCTCCCATATGTATGAGGTACTCATACACATACATAGCGAGCCTACACAGTGACAAGGATGAAGGGCAACTTACTTTTCTTTAGACTGAACATCGGATGGACCGCCAATTAGTTTCCCCTTCCCATACATTGCAATTTAATCGAAAAGGCAAGGCATAGCAAAACGAGCGAACAAAACACTAAGGCGCCGCCCGGAAAATTGGTGTGTCAAACGACTAAATAGCTCACTTAAAGAAAGGTACAGTACCATGTCCCATTACTACTGAAATCGAAGGCACCATAAAATTAGTTTCCTGAATGTTAACGCGGCTATTATGCCAGTTTGCGCACGGGTATATGGCTCCGAAGTAAATAATAGTGGAGACTTTAACGCAGAATGGTACCTCAACAACTCAGAGTTAAACCGTTTCAGTGATATGAGTATAGTATGGGTAAGTCTTCCAGTTTATAAATGTCATTAAAAGGCATCTCCCTACCTAAGGAAGCGAACGGCGTTTTAGGGGGAATGTAAGATTGTCTGACTGTACATGTACAGTGGATGACAGCCCACCAGAGTATTGAGCAAAAGAGTCAGCGTCAACATTGATTTCAGTTTGTCAGTTTATTAAGGGAATAAGGCTTGCATCCTTGAGTTCCCTATTCATATCGATAAACAGAAATAGAATAATCAATTACATCAGCAAATGCGGAATTTCAAAATTCAGCGGTAAATGTGAGCCAGGCGCAAACTGCCGCCGCTAAAACAATCGTGATTATAGGTACAGTAGTTTCTCAGAAAATGAGCAACTAGACTATGCTTAAAGGGTTCGACAGTTTCGGAAAGAACCACTGCATCAGGGAGTCCGTTCCATGCCCCAATGATCCTGTGAGAGAAGGCGTTCCGTCGGACGTCCGAATGAGCCAGCTTCCTTTGAAGTTTGAAGGGATGACCACGCAGTCCACTTCAGTCTATTGAGGGAAATAGCTGTGAGCCTTTGAATATCATATTTTGCACAGTAAAATTGGTGCGTTACACGGAGAAGTCATGTGGGCCGAAATAATTCAAATAGGCATATAATAGTTTGACTAATTGGGCGTGATTCCCAAGGTTTGAGTTCGATCCCTCATCACTCTTGTTTTTTTCGGAAAGTGAATATGTCAGGATCCCTGTTGGGAGTGCCTACACTCTCAAAAACAAAAGCCAGCCAATCACTGGAGGCCACGTGCGTTTTCTCTACAGCACTGTCATCTTAATCGTGGCACCTCTCCATTGGCTTTTCCCCCGGGGCCTGATCGATCTACGTATTCGAATTATCGAGCAGCTCGTCTGGAATGTTCTTCGCGAAGGGCATTGGGCCGAATGCCGGCAATCCCCAGTAGGGCGTTATAAATATGCGTTACTTCCAGCTAATGTTGACTTGCGATTTCCTAATACACATTTTCGTGGCCGGTCTCGTTCTCCTTCTCTGCCGCGTTGGCACTGAGGACAATAGTCGGGTATGCATACGCTCCCACGTGCTTTCAAGTACCAGGCCGGGTCATAACAATCCCTTTAGGCTTCCTGTCAATGGTGGCATCGCAATATTTGCGGGCAGGGCATTCCACGGTTTGACCACTCTGACAGAGAAGTAGAATTTTTGTACATCTAGTCTTGCTTTCTGAATGTGCGGTTTGGATGTGTGACCTCGGAGATTGGCCGTGGTGGCACTGGTGCGACAGCCAATGCGACTATCCCGTGATTCTTTTCTCTTGTTTTCGTCGTTTTTCCACTCTCCAAAAAGGACCTGGAACTTAATCACTCGTCTCGTCCCACAGCATATCTTGTCAATTCGGGATTTCAAGTGTCAACCCGCCAAACCTTGTGTAATTCGACGGGTTTCCACAAAAGTGCAATATCTAGCGAGATCCCAGAACTCTCAACAAACTTCAATAATGGGTGAGTTCAACTGGTCAAATTGCATAAAACGGCTATCAATCAATATTTTTACATTTGAAAATCTTGCGCCTCTTGAACAAAGTCAGTCAGTCAATCAGTCAGTTAGTTTATCTGAGGGAAATGGGCTTACGCCCCTGAACTCCCTAGCCGTCACATAAAAATGGAAGAAATAGCAACAATGCAAAGAAAATTTCAGCATCAAATTATTGCAGCATCAAATATGGTTTCGGCTTGAGAAAAAGCGTGACTTTTGTGTCCGTCTGCTGCTTGGTGCCATTGTTTAGTTGATTGCACTCATTCGCCTCAATCGCTTTTAGTCAGTCGACACGAAATGTTTATGTCTTTTGCCCGTATTTAACTGGACGTAAATTCACCTGAGCGACAAGTCTCATTAACTGACTTTGTCTCGGGATTTTGTCTAGATCATTCACCCTACGGCCAACGATTCTGGAGAAGGCTTTATTTTTCTTTAACTGCTGTTTACACTACACGTCCGAGAAACCTATCTCCTTCCGACCACATCTCTGACAACCACACCACGATATTCCTCAAATTTAAGAACGGCTGCGACGTTTCCTATTTACTATGTATGTCAAGAGCAACTCAACAGTGTGTGAGAGGACCGACAAGATTACTGACGACACAGAGGCAATTTGGCTGACTATAAAGGCACGGGGGTCTCAGTCCCTCGAAGTCGTAACTATTTACCGGCCTCCGCAGGCGGATCCCGACCCAGATAATAGTCTACTGGAAAGCATAAAAGAGATCGCCAGTCGACCAGACGTTGTTCTCATGGGGGATTCTAATACACCCTGCATTCAATGGAGCGATATGCATGCGAAGTGCTCGAAGAATGCCTTCGATTACCGTCTACTAAAGACAACCCTAGAAGCTCTTCTCACGCAACGTGTCCTATTTCCATCTAAAGCACGTGGAGGGCAACAGGGCAGTTGTCTGGACCTCGTCTTCACCAAAGATGCTGACAGCATAGACAAGGTGAACTAACTACCCCCGCTCGGTCAAAGTGATCATGCAGTACTTTTATGGGAGTACGAGCTGTATTCTGAACCGTATACAAAAGGCGATACGAGGCCGAATGTATGGAAAGGGGACTTTTGCCAAATGAGAGCTGAGACGTCACAAATAGACTGGGATGTTCTCTTCTCCGAAAACGTTAACGAGGACTGTAATTTATTCAAGGATTGGTTGCTGCATCTAATGAAGAGCCACTGTCCCTTATCAAAGCCTAGGACATCCAACCGCCCTCAGTGGCTAACACGAGACCTCAAATAAGAGATCAACAAGAAAGGAAGGTTGTGGAAGAAATTTCGCGAAAATAGCAACATTGCAGCGTTTACAGAATATAAAGTTCAAAGAAATAAGGCGAAAAGCCTGATTTTCAGGAAGCGACGGGATTTCGAGAGTAGCTTGCTTCACCGAGCCGTTAAAAATTTGAAATTGCTTTACAGCTATTTGCGGAAGAGCGCACGTAACAGGTATCCCATTGCTGTCATGAGGAATGATGACAGTTTGGAGATATCGGACAGTACGAACAAAGCTGAGCATTTTGTGCAACTTTTCCAATCCATTTTCACGATAGAAGCAGAATTTATTCCAACTAATTCCGAAAACATGGGAGATCCCACCATTGAAGACATCGTGTTTCGAGAAGAAACGATTTCGGGAGAACTAAAAAGCTTGAAGGAATGCAAATCTCCCGGTCCAGACGAGATCCCAGCAAAGTTGCTTTTCGAGCTTGCCCGAGAGCTGGCCAAACCACTATCCTTTCTGTGCCAGGAATCGTTTGATGCTGGAATCCTTCCCACAGACTGGAAGACGGCCCACCCCTTTACAAAAGCGGTAGTCGTGCTCTTGCGACGAAATACAGATTCATCAGTCTGGCACCAATCTGCTGCGAAGTGATGGAGAAAACCATGAAAAAGGAGTTGATGGCCTATCTGGAAAACCACAACCCGCTGTCCAATGCACAACATGGTTTTCGTAGGGGAAGATCATGTGTAACGAACTTGCTATATACAGTGCAAAGTTGGACAAGAGCACTGGACGTAAAACACACTGTGCACGTGGCCCATATTGATTTCCGGAAGGCGTTCGACAGTGTTCCGCACCAGTGTCTCCTGCACAAGTTGAGAATAATGGGCATCGGCGGCAAACTTCTCAGATGGATCGAGAATTTCCTCGTCGGCCGCTCCCAAATTGTCTGCGTAGAAAAACAGCAATCAAGGCGCATATTCATAGAGAGTGGAGTCCCACAAGGCTTGGTGCTCGGACCAACCCTCCTTCTCTTGTTCATTAATGATTGTGTAGATGGGTTGGACTGTGATAGTGCCATGTTTGCCGATGACATACAAATCTGGAAAGTCATCCAGAATGCTGCCGATGAGACCAAATTCCAAGAAAATCTTTGTCGATTGGACGAGTGGTCCCGCAGATGGCTCCTGTCCTTCAATTTGAACAAATGTACCGTACTGCGCCTCGGAAAACAGACCTCTAGTACGCGACAATACCATCTGAACGGAATACCACTTCGAGATGCAGAAACGCAGAAAGATCTCGGAGTCTGGGTTGCGAACGGCCTAAAGCCTTCTACACAATGTTGTAAGGCAGCTAAGGCTGCAACTTCAATGCTATATGACATCAAGCGGGCATCCGCAGTTTTCGATGTAGACTGCTTCTCCAAAGTCTTCGGCACGTTTGTAAGGCCGCATCTCGAATATTCAATTCAGGCCTGGAGACCGTGGACGCATCAGGATTACAATCTGTTCGAAAGGATGAAGAGGCGAGCAACAAAACTAATAAGAGGTCAAACTGCACTGCCATACGAGATCCGCATAACTAACTTTAATCTCTACCCCCTGAGTTATAGGCAGCTGCGCGGAGACTTGATACAAACTGTCCGTATCGTGCGTGGCTTGGACTGCGCCCTTCGGTGTGATGACTTTTTCCAACTCGCCACAACAACTAACCTCCGGGGACATCCCTTAAAGCTACGTGTGCCCCAGGGTAGATTGAATGTGAGAAAATATTTCTTCTCCAACCGTGTCGTGGAACCGTGGAATAACCTGCCCGAGACGGTTGTCATGTCTCAATCTGTGGAGACATTTAAGTGTCGGCTTGACAGACATATGCTGCAGCAACAAGCGGACTATGGGACTTTTTAGCCATGAGACCAGTGACATATGTGAATCAATGTC